GGCTGCCGGCCCCAGGCGGGGAGGAGGCAGAGGCCCCAGACCCAGCGGACGAGGAGGTCAGCCATATCACCAGCTCAGCCCGAAGACCCTCGCCCACAGCCCACGAGGTGGTGGGTGGTGAGCCAGACCTGCGCAGGCTCTACAGTGTGGACGCGCAGGGCTTCCTGGACCAGCCGGGCCGGGGAGACGAGCTCTGGAGGCCCTCGTTGGAGCAGGGCGGAGGGGACAGCCACCCAGAGACCGGAGAGGTGAAGGCCCGGGCCCTGGAGGCCGAGCCAGCCCTGGGGGCACGCAGGAAGAAGAAGATGAGCCCCCCATGCATCTCCATAGACCCGCCCACGGAGGACGAGGGCTCAGCCCGGCCCCCCGCAGTGGAGGGCGGCAGCACCACCCTGAGGAGGAGAACCCCATCCTGTGAGCCCATGGAGGGCGTGAGTGTGGACCCTACGGCCAAGGGGGACCGGTGGGGCCAGGCCCCCTGCCGTGCAGAGCATCTGACCATCCCTAGCTTTGCCTTCGAACCGCTGGACGTGGGGAGCCCCAGTGGGGACCTGTTCTTGGACGGTGGCCACAGGGTGGCCCCAGAACCCAGAGCTTCCTCAGGGGCAATGGCGTCTGCCGAACCCCACAAAACAGAGTCTCCCATGCCCTCTGGCGACCCACCAGAGAAGGGGTGGGGGCTCTACCTCAAAGTCCCCCAGAGCCCCCCAAAGAAAGCAGGGTCCCCCCCAGCCAGCCCCATCCCCGGTGACAGTGTGGACGAGCCCGTGTAGCTGGAGGCGTAATGCCACACAGGCTTGGCACTGGGGTTGAGTGTACCTGGTGGGGGTGGTAGCCCCAGGTGGGGCCATGCGTGGACCCTGGCTTGGGCCCCATTGTCGGCAGAGGAGCCAGGAGGACATCCCCCCAGGGAGCGGGAGGCAGACGCTATCCTGAATGAAGAGGAACAAGGTTAGCCCCTCGGCCTGCGAGCCTCCACTTACCCATTCAGGTTTGGGTTTTTTTGAGTTTAGCCTCCATGGTCCGAGACTACCAGAAGCCTGGTCAGCAGTCCCTTAATGAGAGAGCTGCATCCGTGTGACAAGGACCAGAAAGCTACGAAGAGGAAAAAAGGCAGACACCATCCACCAGAGTCCTGTTCTCACATCCACTTATTTTTATAGGGAACACATGCTTGGAGCCACTAGTGCCCTCGTGGGTGGCCGCTCCGTCCCCAAAGACCCCGCGAGCACGCTTCACTGTTGCTCAGTCTGAACTCGCATCTGTTTGTACCAACCCCCCATCACTGGCCCTCCGTCACCCCTTCCACGCCCCCTCCCCACCAGTCCGTGCAGAAAACGCCCATTGATGCCGGTCACCAGGAAGCATCAGCAGGGAGCAGGAGTCCTGCAGTAAGACCCCCGGTGCCTGGTGTCTCAAACCGCCATCCTGGGGTCTGGGCTGAACCCTTCCCACCGATGCCCCATTGTTTCATTTTATTTCTTTTATAAATTCAGGTTAAACATTGCAATAATCTGATGCAGAAAATTCGGCTTCTTGAGTCAAGTGGGTGGGCAGAGCAAACAGAATAAATACTAACTTATTTAAGGAACAAATTGTATGATAATCACCATCAGCCCCTCCGCGTGGGAAGGTGACGGGTTGGTGACAATGGCCACCATGGCAGGGCCTCAGGGTCACCTGCCGCTGGGCTGAGCTGGCTGAGTTCCTTGGGATCTGGGACGAGATAAGGGTCTCCTCCCCACTACCCCTCTTATCTGGAGGTCCCAGCCCGAAATCCCCACCTGGTTACTTTTCCTGTTGTCGCCCGCCTGCCTCCTGCGGTTCCCCTGCACAGGTAGATTCACAGATAGAAAATTGTTCGGCAGGAAAAGTTGAGCTCCCCATAGTAGTGGAGTTCATGTGGCACTATTCACACACTGGAGAAACTGCATCTGACAATGTATGAAGGTTTTGCCAGGGCTCCTGGTGGGGATGGGTTCATTGCAAGCAGAGATGAGGGGAACCCTACAGGGAGAGCTTCCCAGCTGGATAGTCAACCTAGGGCTTAGGAGAGCACTCACACCCTCTCCCTGCCCTGAAGGCTCCAACCCCCAGTGCTTGGCCCTGACCCTTGACCCTGCCGAGTGTCCTACCAGCCTCTAAGGGACCAGGGCTTGTTTGCAGCCTCACGGGCCCATCTTGTCTTCTGGAAGCCCAGTCTTGGGGGTTTCTCAGGACGGTCCCCCCTCAACACCCAGACTGAGTCCGAAAAAGGCAGCTCAGGCCCCATGACTAGATCCTCACCACCCAGCCCTCCCCAATGTCCTTGCCACACCCAGCCCCAGGTCCCATGGTCTCCACCGCAGATCAGATGGAGACAGCACCAGCTGCCCAGCTCAAGGCAGCCCTTCCTAACCGTCACTGTCTGGCCAGGGCCTGATGACCAAGCTGATTAGGGCCCTCTGGGAGGAAATGGGGCTTTCCTGCCCCCGTCAGCTCCAAATCAGAGGCTGGGTGGGTGGGTCCCTCCAGGTCAGTGATCCCCTTAGATGGGGGAAACTGAGGCACATGGTGTTTGTCTGATGATCCACCAGGACACAGCTTCTCAGGGTGCAGACTTAACTCCTTCCTTCCAGCACCTGGCCCAGAGCCTCAGAAGTGTGTGTGCCATATTTGACCTAATGATGAACAGGGGTGACAGTGGCACCAGCTTTGTGTGTGGACCTGCTCTGAATCCATGATAGGCACATGCTCAGGAGGGTGCCCCTTGGGAAGGGGGACCTGCCCCCATCAGTACAGCTCAGGGGAGCAGGGTCAGAATCCAGGCTACCCCTCCCAGGCACCAGGAGGCCTGATGGCACCCAGCGTTGGTGGAATGGGGGGTTTCTGGAGGAACTGAGGTCCTCTGCCTCCTGCACACGCCATTCCTTCTCCAGGTCCTCACAGGAGAAGATTTCAGGGCCCTCACCTATCCCAACATGATTCACCTCCAGCTTGGGAATCCCAGTTTCCCGTCTGCACCCCATCACACAGCTCCCTGCAGGTCCCTCGCCACCTTCAAGATCCCAGGCCTGCTCTCCAAGCAAGAAACTTGCAAGCACCATCCATGTGGTCGCCTCAACGACTCTGACATGGACTCATTTCTGTCCCCATTTGGCAGGAGAGCAAACAGGCACAGGGAGGGGCATTCTGCCCTAGAGTGCCCCCCCTCCTGGTCTTGGGTATCCCACACCCCAGCAAACATGGGCCTGTGGGCCGCATGGCAGCCCCCTCAGGAGGACCCTGCAGGCACAGGGAGGGCCTCACAGTCCCACAGGCCCAGCTTGACCCTCCCTGATAAGCCAACGCTCACTTTGTCCCTTGCCACTGGGCTGAGCTGGCTGAGATCCTCGATCTGGGACCAGATAAGGGCCCCCTTCCCACTCCGCCTCTGTTGAGTCCCAAGCCTAGGCCCCCGCCTGGCCACCTTTTCTTCCTCCCACCACCCCCACCCACAGGAACCCTGCGGCATCTCGTCCCTCAGTGTCCCCCAACATGACCTGCAATTGGAAAAGTCTAAATGTGCTTATAAGCTTAGCAATGCAGGGAGGTTGCCCCAATGACCACAGCGGCAACCCCAAGAGGGAGGGACAGGCACAGGGAGGAAGGAGTGAGGTGTCCAGTCCATCTGTCTTTCATGCGCTAGGATGGGCATGTGTTACGGCTACAATAAAATAAAGATGAAAATAAATAGGGTTAGCACCTCTCCCCAACCCCCACCATGGTTTCCACAGCAGTGAGGGCGCAGGATGAGTGGGGGCGAGGCCATTCCCACTTGGAACCCAGTCTGCACTATGGGGAGCGGAGCTGTGGGCTGTGGGAATCTGCCCACAAGACAACCTGAAATGCACAGCAGCCTGATGCAGAAAACCACCCAACCTGTTGCCGTGAGCATTGATGGGAAAAGGTGCCCAATGACTGGACCATCCAAGATGGTAGAATCCTTGGACATGGGGCCTGGGGACACTGTCCCTGCTATTGAAGGTGGACAGCTGTCCCCTGTCCTACCAAGGGCAAGAGCCCCGACTGCAAAAGGGGCTCCCCCAATCAAAAATGATAAAAATACTAATTAAAAACTTCATGAGATGCCATCCCCCCCTACCAGAATGGTGGATTGGAGGTGACGTGGCACCAACCCCATTGCTAAATCCACCTGGCATCTCGGAAATGGAGGGTGCATGGACCCCATGGCCTCAGCAACCCCCTCAGTGGCACATGCTGCATACATTCCGGGTGTGTGCACAGGATCATCCAGGCTACCAGGTCCTAAGACCCTGACTGGGGACACCCCAAGTCCCCTGTGGCAGTCTGGACACTAGACTAGGCTCCCCCCTGGGAGCTGACACAGCGTTGAGAAATGGTGACCTCGCTACACACAGCCATGGGAGAAGAGCACAACATGGTGTCAAGTGAAGTGCGAGGCTCCAAAGTGTTACAATTGATCAGTCACAGAAACGGGAAAATTAGGCAGACACACTATTCCCATGTGCACATGCACAGTGCGGCCTGAGAGAGGCAGGGGAGCAGGGGACAGTGCTGTGTGTGTGTGGGAGGGTGCTGCATGGTTAGAGGGACACGGGGCATGGGCAATGACGCTGTGTATCGTGACCCCATTGCTGGGTACCTGACAACCCTAGAATCTTTTATTTATTTTTATTTTATTTTATTTTATTTTTTTTACCTGAGCCATCCTGCCATCTGTTGGCAGCTCAGCGGCTGCTCAGCTCGGGCGGGACTCGAACTGCTGTTGCTCAGGGCTCAAACTAGAATCATCTTTTAAATGGTCTGTGTTGCTTTCTGTGTCCCAAGTACACGTGGCCACTCACCCAAGACACACAAACCCGGGCACCAGAGCCTGGAAAAGGGACCATCCTCACGGCTGGGGACCCCACAGTGACAGTGGCTGTGCCGGGCTCTCCTGGACCCCCTTCCCTGCCCCTCAGTGACGCCCACAATCAGACACAGGGCCCAGCCACGTGTGTATTCCATGCTCTTTAATGAGGATCAGTGTGTGAGCTGGAGAGGCAGGGGACAGGGCAGGGGACAGGGAGGATGGGAAGATCACCACCTGGGCAGGAAGCAGTGGTGAGGGGACAGGAGGGGCCTGGCTTCTCTGCAGACGCCAGCGGCAGCCTTAGGGACAGGCTCAGGGTTCCTCGGGGACATACTGACGGATCCACTCCAGGTAGTAGGTGACTCGGGTGTAGATGCGGGGTCTGTTGGGCTGGGCACAGCTTTTGCCCCAGCTGACCACACCTGCCTGTAACCAGGTGCCGTTGACCTTGCAGACCAGGGGCCCTCCGGAGTCGCCCTGGGGAGGAGAGGGGTCAGCAGGGGCTCGCGAGGCCAGGGCTGGTGGGGGCTGTGGGTGAGGACACGGGCCCACCTGGCAGGAATCCCTCTTCATGTTTCCTGCACACATCATGTCATCACGGACAATCTGGACATTGTCCCCCGTGGACAGGCCAGTGTGGTAGTTTGTGTCACAAATGCCGTTTTCTACAATGGGGACCTTCACCTGCTTCAGGGGGAATGGTGGTGGGAGATGTACTGTGGGGTGAGAGGCGAGCACGCAGCGTCAGCGGGGAGGCAATCAAAGCCCTCAGCCAGCTGTTGGGCCCCATCCCCCATGGGAACCCCGGAGCTGGGTCATGGGTGTTACTGGTCCCAGCTCCCCTGAGCACCTCAGCTGTCCCTGACACTTACCTCCATTGTCCACATCGCCCCAGCCTGTCACCCAGCACACGGTCCCTGAGGGGAAGGTCTCCGAGGCCGGGGGCAGGGTGACCACCTGGACGTGGCTGGAGATGTTCACAGGGTCC